TGGTGGGCGCCTGTAATCCCAGCTACTTGGGAGGCTGAGGCAGGAGAATCGCTTGCCTCCAGGAGGCAGAGGTTGTAGTGAGCCAAGATCGCGTCATTGCACTCCAGCCTAGGCAACAAGAACGAAACTCCATCTCAAAAAAAAAAAAAAAAAAAAAAAAAAAAAAGATTTGGATAGTCACCTATCTAGAAGCAGGAGGCTGGACCAGATGACCTCAGAAAGTCGTTTCCCACTGTTTTGTTGGTTTTAAGAGCTGGTAGCCCGGGCACCCTGGAGCATGGCAAATCAGGTTTCCAAATGCAATTGAATTTGGTGAAGGTGGCAGTACCTTTGTGAGATTTTACCTAGCTGGCTCCCCGACTGGAGCAGAAATAACCTTGCGGACCCTGCAGTAGAAAAAACCTGGATCTGGAAAAGGAGCCACAGAATGAATGCTTGTTTGAGTGGCAGTTGGGAGGGAAGGTAGAAGTTGAGGATGAGCGAAGAGAAAGAGAATTTCATCTGTGGAGAAACTGGGAGAATTTCAGAGGTTAAACTGAGTAATCATTCTTGCAAGGGCGGCCGGGGTTGATCCTGGGCCTGACTGAATGAATCCCAGTGGCAGGGTTTGGGAATATGAGGGGGAGTTTGAGCTGACTGCTGCTAAGGAGGTGTTGTGTTCATCCCCAAGTCAGTAGCAGAAGCTTTCTCCAATGAGGGGTTCTCTGGGACAGTTTTGGAGCTGGTTAGCACTCAGGTTTAAGGACCTATGGATAGAGGATGACTTTGTTTCCCTTCCAAAGGTGTGTGATTGGGCAAAACAGAGAAATACTACATTTTCCTGTAAAAAGTGTCTGGGATGTAACTGCTACAGGGAGCAACTGGGCATGTGCCCAGCAGCCTGTGCAGTCGTGGGCCTGCCTCCTAGGCTGGAGCCGTGCTAGTGGCCTGCATGCATAGTGGGAATTTCTTAGATGGGCTTAGCCTTAGCAACAGGAAAGTTTGAATCTTGTTCTAGGGTTTATTCATCTCCAAAAGCCTTCCTCAAAATCTACCCTGTTCCCTTTTCATCTGGGACTTTCCCCCATCAGTGTTTTGCTTTCCCAACCAAGGGGTGGCTGAGAGTCAATGAAAAAAAAATTTATTATGGCCAAGTGCAGTGCTGCACACCTATAATCCCAGCACTTTGGAAGGCTGAGGCAGGGAGATTGCTTGAGCACAGGAGTTTGAGACAGCTTGGGCAACATGGTGAAACTCCGTTTCCACAAAAAACACAAAAAAATTAGCCAGATGTGGTGGCACTTGCCTGTAGTCCTAGCTACTTGGGAGGCTGAAGTGGGAGGATCACTTGAGCCCAGGAGGTGGAGGCTGCAGTGAACCAAGATTGCACCACTGTACTCCAGCCTGGGCAGCCAAGTGAGATTTTGTTCCCCCTGCCACCGCCCCCTGACCCCTCTGCAAAAAAAAGAAAAAATATTTATTGAACCCACTATTCACTAGGAAGCACAGTGTCCTTCATGTCACCCCCTTATGCCTCAGCTGCCAGAAAAACAAAGGCCAAATTTGTTGCTAAAATGTCAGAAGCAGAACATCCTCAGTGTCTGACACCATCAATTCCTTCTGATTCCTTCAGATGAATTCCATTTAAACTGCTCCCGAACTGTATCCTTCTTTGGTGCCACCTTGAGTCACCTTGAAAGTAAATTGAGCATAAGAGTAAACATTAACTTTCATGCTCTAGACAATGCTAGGCAAGTAGATGGGGTCCAAAGAGCATTGTCTCTGCATCACCCTTTCAATAAACACAAGAGGGAAGACCAGATGCACACAAAGGTGAGAGCTGCATCTCAAAGGGGTTCGGCCCTATGTGATCAGAGCTAGAATTGAATGTAAAGATAACTCCCTCTTTACCTTTCTACCCTCCTTTCAATCAGAACTTGTCCTTGGGCTTAACTAGAATTTCCTGCTGCAAGTTAGAATTTCTCTTCTCTTAGTCATCTTACAAAGAGGGATGCTGTGGTCCAGAGAGGAAAAGTGATTAGCCCAAAGTCACAGAGCAAGCCCCTGGATGAAAAGTGCCAAAGTCATGCGGAACACTAGGATTTCAGAGAAGGAAGAGAGCCCTTTTGCACAAGATAAGGGGATCTGGCATCCTCAGTTCCTCTCCAGGGTCTGTAACAGAGAACTATTGAATCATGGAAAACTTCAAGGTTCCCAAGGAATCTAATAACGGGGTTCAGAAGAGAGCAGATTTTTTTATTTGAGAAAGGAAAGCATCCCTAGAACCTCTGAAATCGCCTGATTGTGTGTAAGGCTGGGCCTGAGTCTAGTCTGTAGTTCTGAACACTTTTCTCATAAGAATGGAAGCTTCTAGGGCTTCACCCTTGCAACACAGCAGAGAAATGTGGCAGAATGTGTCCATGGAGAGGGAATGAGTTTGAAGAGAGAAAACAAGGGTATACTTGAAAGAGAAGAAGCATTCAGGGAAGGAAAGAGGGGGCAAGATGCTGAAATGACCAAGCTCCGTAAATGACAGCAGAGAGGCATGAACTTCCCTCTTGAGGACTCTCTGGGTGCTGTGTGAACTCTTCCTGGAGAGCTTAGGTCCTCCCAGCTAAGACAATGATTGCACAACCTCTCATTTTCAGCCGACTAACGGGCTGCATTAACAGCTTTTTTTATTAGCTTTTTATGAGAGGATGATCTAGTCCTGGCTCTTTGGTAGTTAGTCAGATTGTCAAGTTGCTCATAAACCAAGACACATTAGAAATGACCATCCTCTCTTCTGAAGGATTCTGGCTTGCCCACTGGCCATCTTTTGAGTGCTCAGACAGGAAGGCAGTGGTGGTGGGTAGAGCGGAGCTTATCCGGTTGTTCCCTAGAGCTTTATGCACTTTTAATTCAGCAACCCCAGGGATAAAGGAAGAATGTGATTCTGGACTCAGGAGCAAGAGGCCAAAAACAGAAGTCGGAAGTTATGATTTAACGGAATTTAATTAAGTACCATTCTCGTTTGAGGAAGGTTTTCTAAGTCATTAACCTGTGATCTTCCTATTACAACGGATTGCCCCCAGGGAGAAAGGGAGAAAGTTTCTTCTTCCATTAGAAGGAATGAAGCAAAAGGATTTCAGGAATTTAATACCCAAATTCTCCTTTGTGAAGATGTCTCAGAACCCCACAAGCTTAGGAAACCCTAGGGCAGAGATTTGGAGTTTAGTCAGAAATATGTTAAATTTGGGTTCAAAGATGGTTTCCAAATGAATTATGTGAGGTAAGAGCTAAAAGAGTTTAGAGATTATTTATCTAAAAGTGCCTCATTTTTGTAGATGAGGATTGGAAAGGAAAAGCCATCTACCTCACCCACAGGGCAGAATGGCAGAGACCCACCTGGCTCTGTGACTCCTATTCCCTTCCTACCTTGTTACATGGCCTTTCTCCCATGGAAGCTAAGCATCCTCTTTGGCTGGGCGACCATACCAAGGAGCACACTCTCTTTTTCCCTTGGTAGTCCCCTCCTTTCTTCTATTCTTCTCCTTGATCACTGGATCCCACTTATCCTGTTACATTGTTACCCATCCCATATAGCAAGGATAGAGCAGGGTGCTTTGCATTTGTATCAATGCATAAAAGAAGGACAAAACCCAAGAGATTCCATCTACAGCTTGAGACGCTCAGTCTTTCCCAACGCTTGCTGCAATGGCTTGTCTTAATTTTGAAAACACTAGACACTCACAATGGCTAAATCCTGCAGCTACTCATGCTTGTTCCTTCTTTATTCTAAACTTTCTCCACATCCTATGTGTATCCATGTGGCTTTGGTGCTGGGCAGGTAAAACACTGCTGCCCTCTAACTCCAGAACAGATTTAGAAATGGTGGGGAAAAGCTGCGCCCGAGGGGTATCCCTTCTCAGTGGAATGTCCCCAGCTCTGTCCGTTACCAGGAAGAGGCCACTGGCCACAGCTTTTTATCTTTTTACAGAGGGAGACTGGAGCCATACAGAAGGTTTGCCCAAGGTCAGAATTAGGGACACTCTTGGGAATAGAATTCAGATCCTCTGACTTGTACCGTGGTTCTCTTTCTACTACACTTCACTTTTTAAAATCAATTATCAATGCACTATAGCTGGCAGAATTCTAAATTAATGGAATCTCAAATTAATAGAATTCTTCAGGTATTACTAATTTGCTAGATTTTTAGAGCTATCTTTCCAGAAAGTTCAAGACACATTACATAGACATTGAGTCTTGCCATGAAAAATAAAGGAGGTAACAAAATTATATGGAAAGAAAAGAAAGCGTCGATTCATTTTTTTCTTAATTAAGAAAATATTAATTCATGCTTTTATCCAACCTGGGTTTATGGAGGGCTTGCTATACTTCAGCACACCACGTTTGCTGCTGGAGACAGAAAAATGTAAAACGATATTGCCTCTTCATGGGCTTATACTTAATTAGGGAAACATACAGAAGGAAAGATCAGTGGAAGCTTGAGAGGTCAGGAAGGGCTTCATAGATGAAAATAAACTTGAGGTAGACCTCAGAACGGGGAACAGATTTGGACTGACCTGAAGAGAACAAGGGATTCCAGGCAGGAGGAAAAGCTGGGGTCAGAATAAGCCTGACTTCTGTTAGTTAGCCTTGCTGAGCAGTCATATTTGCTTTGGGAAAGGAACAGGAGATAAGTTGAGTAGGTAGGGTAGGGCTAGAGCATTGAATGCCAGGAGAAGGTAGAGGGTATGAATGAAAATGGGATGAGAGCCTAAGCAAGGTTTAATTGAAAACTTCCAGCAAACTGAGATCAAAAGAACGTGGCCTTCTAACCAGTCTTTCCTTGGAGACAACCGAGGCGCCTGGGGTGGGCAAAGGACCCTCGGGCTTGAGGTGGCCACGGGCACCCCAGAGGGACGGAGGGCACCATAACGCTGTTGCCATGTTCCTGCATGTGTTTGAAATCTCGGCTGACAAGACGAGCTGGACAATTTTGCTCCGTTACGTATTGAATTCTCTTCTCTGTGGTACAGGATCCCCTTGAAGCGTGACAGCTGCAATGACTTCCAGATGTCCGCCTCCTGTCTCCTAGCCGACTGAGGTGGATGTGGTAAACTCCGCGATGGAAACCAAAACCCCCACCAGATGTGCCATGTCAACGTCAGCCTCGCGCACATCTGGCTTCAATGCCGGCCGCCAATCCCAGAACAAATGGCTGCTTTCCCGCTGTATTCGGCTCGTCAGCGTTCCCCGGTTAAAAGGCGCTGGGGCAGGGACGGCGCGGGCCTTCCGCGGGGACGCGGCGAGGCCCGGCCTGGGAAGGGGCGCGGGGCCCGTGTTGGCAGCGCTGGGTCCCGGCTCCCGGGCGGCTGAGCCCCCGGCGCTCTTTCCTCGGGGCGCTGCGGTGGGGTGGCCGGGAGGGCAGAACGAGGGGCTGCGGGATGGTGTTCGGGAGAAAATCGTGCGAGTTTAAAAACATCCAAAGTGAGCCGAGCTGGGCCCCAACCCTCGGCCTCGCGCACTCGCCAGGCCCAGGAGGCGAAGCAGGCGTCGGGACTGCGGCGACCAGAGCCCGCTGGACAAGCAGGGCCGGGTCCCTCAGGCTGGCCTCCTCCTGGCCTCCCTCTCCCCAGCTCACGCATCCACCAGCAGGACCCCCTACAGGGCGGGCGCAGGAGTAAATCTTAGCTGTCACTACTCCCGAGGTGGTATTTTCTAAATGAAAAAATCAGACAAATGGATATTCTGAAAACAGGACAGAGCGAGTGAAACCTGCGCTCATGGAAGGATGGTGACCACACCCAGGCCCGCTTGTCCACGGCAGCCGTAGGAGCGGGCACTAACATGTTTACGAGCTGCCCTTGTGCCTACCCACGAAGTCTCATTTACTCACGACAGATGCTGTATATTGGAAAAGGCCCCCAGCTGAGCACCGAAAGACTTGGGTGTGGGTCCCGGTTCCAAATGAGCCAGGAGATGTGGGGTATATCTTGGTTCTTCCTTTATAAGTTGGAATATATACCTATTTCTTTCTACTTCATAGAGTTCTCTCTTAATTGAGCAAAGTTTACAAAGAGAAGTGAATTAGATCTAGAACTAGAATTCCGTTTCCACCGATAACTGGCTGTATAATTTTATGCTACCCACTTCAGGGAAATGGAAAATGAAAAACGGCTCTGAAAAGTCTGATGTGCTTTACACATGCAGGCTTTATTACATTTATTGTTTGCAAAAAGAAAACTGAGGCCCAGGGAAATTAACCGACTTGCTCCAAAGCCATGTAGTAGATAGACACATTTCATTATTACTTTGGTTTGACCTGGGTTGACACATATTAGAGTTTTATCAGTCACCTTATGGCTTTGCAGTTCATCCTTCCTTCTATCTTCAGCTTTAAGGCCAGAGCTGTTTCTCCCAGCTGACTTGGTCACCGAGGAAGAAGAAATCTCATGTTAGAGGCCCAAATCAAAACCACTCTGCATACAGCCTAATTCAGTGGCTTCTCTAGATTCTGCCCACGGAATTTCCATGAAGTAGTTGCTCCCTTCTGGGTCTATAGCCCATGACAAATGTTCAATGTGTCTCTGCCCTGTCTTGTTGAATCTCATCCCTTCTCATTCTCTCTGGCTCCCTTAAATCTGCTTGTCCTTCCTCCAAAACCATCAACCTTTTGTTTCCATTTCTCTGTGGACATTTCTCTCTCTCAATATCTCTCCCTCTCTCTGTAACTTTCCCTGTTGGTTACCTTGCATACTTGACCCACTCTCTAAGTTAACTTAGCCAAGGGCATTCTTTTTGCCATCTTTTATTAAAAGAAAAATTTTATTATTTATTTACTTATTTTTACAAAGCACCAACCACTGAAGAATAAAAAAATTACTTTAAAAGTGACTGAAGTGATGTTTAAAAGCGTTTAAAAGTCAAACATTACTACTAGACTGTAACAACAATAAGAAAAACAGCAATCCTTTGACCACTCCCAGTTACCCCCTAGCCAGAAACAATCACTTTCAACTCTTTTATCTGTTTCTTCTTGGTATTTCTGTCCTTATTTATAAATCACATTCTTACCCAGTTTTTCTTGGTTTACTGACTTTAGGAATTGTCTTTTCACTTACTATCATGGAAAATGTGACCATATAGCATACTAGTGGAGAGTATGGACTCTGGGGAGAAATTACCTCGCTTAAATCCCAGGTCCAATACTTACTAATTGTGTGAGTTTGTACAAGTTGCTTGACTGCTATAGGTCTCAGTTTCCTCCTGTGTAAAACGGATGATAATGTCAGAGGTGTTTGAACCACAGCAACTCCATCTTGAATAGGAGCTGGGTAAAATAAGGCTGACACCTAATGGGCTGCGTTCCCAGATGGTTAAGGCATTCTAAGTCACAGGATGAGATAGGAGGTTGGCACAAGATACAGGTCATAAAGACCTTGCTGATACAACAGGCTGCAATAAAGAAGGCAGCCAAAACCCACCAAAACCAAGATGGTGATGAGAGTGACCTCTAGCTGTCCTCACTGCTACACTCCCACCAGCGCCATGACAGTTTACAAATGCCATGGCAACATCAGGAAGTTGCCCTATATGGCCTAAAAAGGGGAGGCATGAATAATCCACCCCTTGCTTAGCATATCATCAAGAAATAACCATCAAAATGGGCAACCGGCAGCCCTTGGGGCTGCTCTGTCCATGGAGTAGCGATTCTTTTATTCCTTTACTTTCTCAATAAACTTGCTTTCACTTTATGGACTCATCCTGAATTCTTTCTTGTGCAAGACCCAAGAACCGTCTCTTGCGTTCTGGATCTTGCGTTCTGGATCGGGACTGCTTTCTTGTAACAATAATAGTATCTTCCTCACAGAGTGACTATGAAGATTAAATGTTGAAAATATAATGGGCTGAGAATAATGTCCAGTGCACAGTAAGCACATGTAAACATTACTTATTATCATCATTAAACTGGCCTGCACACACTTTCCCTCCGCTCAACCTCCCAACATAGTTATGCCACCACTTTTGGTAAAATCAACATTAAATATTTATTTTATGACTATGTAAATATTATTCCCAGGTAAGCCACATAGAATCCTATAATTATGCTTCCTTTTTCATTCAGCCTTTTGTTTTCCCTGGAATTAACAGTTTTCTGTTTTTGTATTTTGTTTAGTTTTCTATGTACCTATTATTAATTCATCCACAAAATCTCCTGTCAATACATTCAAATACAGGTATTCTCTTGGTTTCATTATTTTCACTGGCTGCCCTTCCTAGAGCTTTTTGGCTTTTCTGTTCCCATCTGGACTCTGCTCTGTGGCCTGATTTACAGCTTTAGCCCTGTGAACAGGACATTCTAGGGGTCCCTTAAACATCATCTGGGATTTATCTTTGTTGGAGTCCTGTTGCCTGGATTATACATATGGGGAAACTGTTGGTTATCCTCCCAAATCCTTTCTTTCCTTCTTTCATTGTGATAGAAATGTAGCTAATATGAGGTTGCCCAACTAAACACTACACTATCCAACTCACCTTTAAAGCTAGGGGTTACCACATGACTAGATTTTGCCAAATAAATGCTAGTGGAAGCAATGTATGCTACTTCCTGGCCTGGTCCATAAAAACCTCCACACTTTTCCCCTCTGGTGAACTGGAAAATAAAAGTACCTGCAATCAAACTTTCATCATGCAGAAAAGGATAATGCCCTAGGATAGTCATCTTCAAACTTTAGCATGCGTAAGAATCACGTGGAAGTCTTGTTAAAACACAGATTTCTGGCCTCTATGCCCAGAATTTTTGATTCATTAGATCTGGTGTTTGGACCTAAGAATTTGCATTTCTAACACGTCCTCAAGTGATGCTGATGCTACTGGTCTGAGGATCACATTTTTGAGAACCATTGCCCCCAAGACGTGGCAGAAAAACAAAATATGCAGAAGGAACCACAATCTCTGAAAGGAAGCAGTTGTCCTGTTGACCTGAAATATTTATCTTGGGCTGTTATATGAGAAAAAAGTAAGTTTACATCTTCATTAGCTATTCAATTACTCTTGGTTTTCTAAATTACAGCAGTCAGCTTTCCCATCACTGTATCTTTTTCTCCTTTTCTTACTCCCATATTTTAGGAAGCACACCCACCAATAGTTTCTTGAGACAAGAAGATAAATTTTTTTGAGACTTTGAATGTCTGAAACTGTTTATTATATTTGGTACACTTAAGTGATAGTTTGGCTGGGTATAGCATTCTGGGTTAAAATCATTTCCCCCAGAATTTCTCCGTTACCTTCAATTGCCATTCTGATTCTCAATCTTTTATAAGTGACTTGTATTTTCATTTTAAAATTTCTTTTTAGAATCTTCTATGACCTTTTTACTCCTGGTGCTATGAAATTAGAGAATGAGGTGTCTTGGGTATGTTTTTTCTCATTCACTGTATTATGCATCACTCTCCTTCAGTTCAGACCCAGTACTGATTCTTTAATGACTTCTTCCTATCTGTTTTCTTGGTTCTCTCTTTCTGGAACATCTGTCTCAAGTTTTCTCATCCTTTACATCTAACTATATCCTTTATCTATGTCCCTTATTCTTCTACTTTTCTGGGAGATTTCCTCGACTATCTTTCAAAAGTCGATGTTTTCCCCCTCATATATTTAACTACTCAGAGCATTGCCTTGTTTTCTAATTTTTTAAAATAGGCTCCTGTTATCATTTCATAGATGCAGTATTTTTTCTTCTGCTTCCTGCCCTTTTTTTTTTTTTTTCCCTGAGCTTCTCTTTTTGGTTAGTTTGGTTTCTTTTGGTGTATTTCATATTTGGAGCTTTTCTCAAAAGTGATCCTCTTCCACATGGAGTGGGGAGACTTGTCAGTTGTTGGACTTCACTATAGCTTGTGTGGGGCCATTTCGTTAGGGGAAACTCTGTGGCCTTTTCTCTTGGACTCATCAGCTGCTCTCAGAAGAATCCCCCAATTTCCCACCAGGAAGCAAGGATGGGGAAGGGGAAAGAGTGTATGAGCCTGGCTGCCAGCATGCTGGGACTTGAGCTAAGGAAGCGGCTGGGAGTCTTATTTTTCAGCGGGTATGTCAACTTTCACTTAAATACATCTCTTTCATGAAGATGTCTCATCCTACCCTCAGCAGTGCCTCCTATTTCTGATTCAGAATGGTCTGATTCAGCCTCTCCAGAAGGTA